TTTCACAAACTAGGTCACCGATATGATCAGTAATTTTTCATGATGTAGTCAAAACTACTAAGGATACTTGTATTTCCTTTGTATTATTATACATCAATAGTTTTGAGAATGTTTATTTGTCATATAATTGCATTTCTACGTGACTTTTTAAACCATATAATTTTAATAGATTGGTACCAGCACTTCGTGAAGGATAAACAAAACCAAAATAGCTTAACACAAAAATAGTTCCAAACTTTAGAGCCGAAGTCTTCAATTTGGAAACATTTTCACTTAATCTCTTGTACAATTACATCTGAGTCGCGACAGAGGCCAGTGGCATTGTTTCAAAAAGAAAGAGGAAACCGTAATTTATTACCTTAACCCATGTGTTACACTTTCACAATATATTGCAATACATATTGCAATACACTAACACATCACAATATATCGCATACCTAAAAATTTTGGCAATACCCAACCCTATTTGTCACCCAATATTCTTGCCTCAAAATAGTTATGCATACAGAAAAAACAAATACCATAAGAAACAACATCAACATCAACAACAACAACAACAACAATAACCTTGAGGATGTTTATCATGTGTATGATTCCTGACTTAAGTGTAGGGCTCAAGGCACAACACCATCAATTACCTGGTCATTTGAGCTGAGTGACCCGAGATTCATTCTCAACTCCCCTGGGAGAACAACACAGGCTGCCTAGGTTACACATCTACATAAAACTACATAACAGATCTGATGTCGTTGAAAAAAGGTCTCATGATGGATTGTGTTTAATGGAATGTCCAATGAACAAGTAACAAAGTTCTTAAGAATACACTATTCCCATGCCAATAACCCGTGAAGATCCGGTTGGAATTGATCTTCTTCAGTAACCTATGCTGCTTGTCGAAGAGGCTAATAACGGATCAGGTGGTCAGGCTTTCGCTGACTTGGTTGACACATGTCATCATTATCCCACCATGCGAGGGTTGATGCTCATGATGTTGATCACTGGATTGTATGGTCTAGATTTGATTATTTACAGACCACCGGCCATTGCTGACTATTGCTGAGTGCAGGGTCAAACAACAAACAAACAAAACAAATCCTATGGGTGAGTGAGTGAGTTTAGTTTTAAGCCGCTTTTAAAGCAATATTCCAGCAATATCACTCGCGGGGACACCAGAAATGGGCTTAACAGATTGCACCTGAATGAGGGGAATGAACGACGAGCCAACGCTTTGAACCACTAGGCTACCCCTAATGCCTCTAAATCCTATGGAAATAAATATGGGAAGACAATGAGTCCAAATGAACCTTTCTCACTATCAATGTATGTATGCTCCATGTTGGAAAATATATATACTTGCATAACATCAACATATCACTTTAAATTTAACTTACAGGTGGATCTATTGAACTTATTACTGGAAGTCAAGTCTGTAAGTGCTAGGGTGCTTCTTACAGCATATACAGTGCTCGTGCCAAAAAACAGAAGTCAAAATCTGCTACTTCTGTTTCATCGCATACTATAAGACCTTGACCTTGTGACCATCTCACAAAACATGCAGGTGTGTCTGTACCAAGACCAATATTGTTACCTGAATTTTGACGTTATTCATCAAAGCGAGATATACGAAAATGTAACATAATGAGTCCAAGAAAGGCAGGATAAAAGGGAACACAAATATGAAATTAATTTGATAGTGTGGTCATTTTTATAATTTAACACTATCAACATGGTCAAAAGATGTCAAGAAATAATTTTGTGGTTTCACTGAATATTATAAATAATACGTAGGTCAGCTGCTGATTTTTTACTGTATTCAGGGTTTTACATGACGAGTGATTCCTGCATATTTGACGCAACAATTTTCTAAAAGACTCTCAAAATATTATTATAGGAGTCAAGCTCTATCACAACCATTAAGTTTATTTTCATGACTTAAGTGTGTAGAAAATAGGCTCTGCATGTACAATCGATAATAATATAATATAAATTGTTTGTAAATTGTTTAAAAAAATATTATCTGAACTTATATATTATGTATTAAATATAAACTGCATTAAATTTTTTATAAAATGTATAAAAATAGTAATTTTAGTAAAGTAAATTTCATTGAAGTATTTGTTTTCCCATATTCACATAGCAAACAAATAATCTGAGATGCCCCATATTATCAACGTTTTTAACAAATTCATAAACCCAGAAACTAAGTCTGTCAAAAACATACAAAAGTGTCATGGCTCATAACGCTTTTACTGAAGGGAGCAGTTGACATTACATAACAGCTTTCCATTTGATGACGCAGACTGCTTTTTGATTCAACCCATCCTGACCCTATGATGGAGATGTTATTCATTATGGCGGACTGAAACGATTGGTAATTGAAATTATCATCAATGGGAAAAATGATTATTTTAGTAATTAGTAATATAAGCCTAAATATGTCCCCAGTCAAAGTTATGAGAAATTCAATGATTACTTTCAGATGGTTTTGGCATTTGCTCAAAGTTCACGACAATGGGTCGATGTTCCGTTAACGATTGTCAATCTCTATGATCAATATCAATAACCAGCCCTACTATTCATTTTCAAGGTCAAAAGTTCATGACCTTGACTTAAACACTACATCCCCTGATAGATTTCGTCCCATGGAAAACCTGAAGATGTTATTGTTTTGGAAGATCCTGCCTTTCAACAGTTCCCTTCGACTTCTCAAAAACGACAATTCACAAAGTTGCAACAAACTGAGCAATTCCTTTTGAATTTTTTTAAGGAGGAAACAACTTCTGTCTGACTGGAATTGGACATTATTTTTGTAAACTACTTGCCTAACAAAAACTAAAGAAGTCTAGAGACAATGAGTATGTGTAACCAATAAAGATAGACCAGGAGTGTGGAAACATCAAAACTACAAGTGTAAATCGGATCACTTACCCAAAAACCTATTTTATAAAAACTATCAGTCTTTCATTAATTGTTGTTTTAATACTGACTGATACTAGTATATCCATGGCTTTTTCAACCACGTCGAATAATTGATTCTCCCATCAAGGCTCAGGATATGTCTACATGACAGTCTAAGTAAACTTAGACTCAGTTTTATTCGTTACACTGCTATACTGAGTCTAACAAAGCCTTGTGGAAGGTCGCGGCAGGTAACCTTTGAGCGACCTATGACCGTCCAATCAAACGTGACACCTGACGACGGAGTTTAACCAATCAGACAACGGCTACTATTTAGGGTTTGGCGGGACTTACAAAATGGATTTTCTCTTCCCCTGTAAGCCAACACTGATCTCACAACAAATGAAAACCCGCATAAAACACAGATATTATATTATGACCTGCAGAATATACGCTTTTGGGTTTCTGTTGACATGGTTATCATTAGCTAATATTTCCGCAAGCTGACATCCTGACAATACTGACAAAACGCTATATTCAGCGATTGTTTACTCACTGTTGTGGCGTGCTCCATGTGCATCACTCGGAAGCGATCGTATGGAAAATAGCATTTGGAATCGTTCGGGTACAACACTTTTTCGAGGTAAAAGTTCAAAAGGTATGTGCGAATGTCAAAATTCGCGATTTGGTGAGCTGTGTTCTGATTGGTCCATTGAAAAGGTTAGCTGACGCGACCTTCTACTAGGTTTTGTTAGATTCAGTATAGCAGTGTAATGAATAATACTGAGCCTAAGTTTACTTAGACTGTTTTCAAAGCTATACAGTCAAACACCAATGTGTCGAAGTTGAAGAAACCAATGTATGAACACAGTCTGACACAACTGCAAAATGATTATAAGAAAGGTAAGATACTTTATGGATGATAACTGCTTTATTATATTATCATGTGACGTTTCGTTCCAAAACAGTTGTCTAGCATGAGTCAGTGGAAAGCGATTACTTAAGAAATACAAAAGAAAGAAATTCGAAAGTACCAAGTTTTCACATTGAGACAGCTGTAAGTTCGACACATCAAAGTTCGACACATCAGTGATTGACTGTTATCTAGAATTGTTATTTTCCACACCCCTGGGGACTACGCTTTCAGTCTTATTAGGCATTACTAATCACTAAACAGCATCATCCATGCTCTTCATCATCTCTGCCTTCATCATCAGAGTTGTTGGCGGTGGTTCCATCACCGCTGGAGGCGTGGTTCCTGTCTGAGCTGTTCTTCGGGGCTGCATTGTTCGTGTCACCGGGGCGAAATGGCAAGGCTGAAATTACAGAAATATATTGCAGATTGTGATGGACAGCGGTATAGAGTGATGGTCAGTGGTATAGAGTGATGGACAGCGGTATAGAGTGATGGACAGCGGTATAGAGTGATGGTCAGCGGTATAGAGTGATGGACAGCGGTATTGAGTGATGGACAGCGGTATAGAGTGATGGACAGTGGTATAGAGTGATGGTCAGTGGTATAGAGTGATGGTCAGTGGTATAGAGTGATGGTCAGCGGTATAGAGGTATAGAGTGATGGACAGCGGTATAGAGTGATGGTCAGCAGTATAGAGTGATGGTCTGATTTGAAGGTAACTGATAAATCCATACAGTTGTGCTCAGCAATATTCCAGCTATATGGCGTCAGTCTGTAAATAATTGAGTCTCGACCAGACAATCCAGTGACTGACATCATGAGGTGAGGTGAGGTGAAATTGGGTTTAACGTCGTGCTTGAGAATATTTCGCAAATGACGACGTGCATGCGTGTATGATGCGGTTGGTATGACGCGGTTGGCGATCGAAGCGTCATACCAAAAAGACTTTAAAAATATGGTACTTGTTGGTCCCTGCCTGGTGCTCAGCATTAATGGGTACAACAAGGACTGGTCCGCATGGAGTCAGTATAATGTGTCTGAGTGGGGTATTCATGCTTCACTGCGGCATGGTATCTCAGTGGGCTAGCACTATAAACCAGCTTATGTCTGGGACAGTACAAGCAGCCGCACATACACATACACACGCATGCATGTCATCATATGAGCGAAATATTCTCAAGCACAACGTTAAACCCAATTTCACCTCACCTCTTTTCAAAATTCATTGAGTATTAAAACAGGACTTACGTTCACGTGAAACAGCTCCATCTCCACCTCCATCCTGCCTCCCACTGCTGCTGTAGCCAGAGTCTCCCTGTGTCTGCAACAAACAGTACTCCAAGCTAGCAACGTAGTACAAAGAGCTTCTCATTTGCTCCTCCATCCCACTGCTAAGTCACTCAATAAGAGGATATTGTTTGACAAGAAAAGACATATATCCTGTGTGCTGTATCCAGTATAAAATACTTTTCTGATATTTCTCTATACTGCTCACTCTCATTTCCAAAAAAATAAACATGAAATGTAAATCAAATTTGCAAGTTTTCATTGCAAAATATGAATTACTTAGTAAGCATTTATCGCAAAGTTTCAACCAATGAATAAAGAGTTACATCCCTTCGTTATGACAAATTCATTTGAGCAGTCGGGTGAGAAAATGACATGCCTCATGACAAGATCATGTTCTTTTTACCAACGGACATTGTCAAACAAAACAAAATTCTTTTAACCAATTTAAAATTAATTGCTTACCGAGGACATTAACATATTTCTGGCCACACATGAGCTATGTTACTGCCATCCTCTAACAAAACATCATAACATGCTTGATAACAGTGTCAGTATCCAGAACGAAACATTGCAGTCACTGTAAAAAAAGAACATCCCTTGTACATCTCAGTCTGGACTGTCTAATATGATGGAACACATTTAACCTAATCCTTCGTCCATTAGTTTTATCTGACATAGAGTGTAAAATACCATTGTGGATGAGGCTTGTCCACTAGGAACCTCTGCGATTCCGGCAGCAGTCGTTGCGGCTGCAGCTGCAGGTGCTGTCACAGTCTGAGATGAAACAGCATTGGGGCTGACGACTGCTGGCGCCGGTGATTCCTCTGCTGGCGCAGTTCCTGACGTCACAGCTTTAGGGCAGGTAACTTCTGCTGGTGCTTCAGCCACGGTCCCGAATTGATCCGGAGATGTTTGGGTAGCCATCTCTTGTGCTGAGACCAAGTTATGGAGCCGTCGAAAACCGTACACCCTAACAAGAGAAAGTCACAAACTGTTCTAATACTCACTGAAGTGGTAAGTAACAGGCTCTCACAGGAAGAAGAAAACAGACACAACTATAATATATATTATATTTGGGATTACACTTTCTTAGTAAAGTACAGATTCTTGTACTTTTGTTGGGTTGGGTCCCATCCGGGATTCGAACCCATACCCTCAGAGTCAGGCACCTAACCCACTCAGCCACAGCGACCTCCACAGAAATGGAAGTCGAACAACTGGTAGTCTAGGCCATGGACTCTGTGTACCCTCAGATAAGTTAAAATTGGCACGGCTCCCATGGCCAAAAGTTTAATCCCTAATATAAGAATGTTACATTTGATCACTTTCTGAATGGTATTGTGTATTGTGTACACACTTGTTTTGCTTCAAACAGGAAATCTTGCATCGACAATGACTGAGCTAAACAAACACTTCTCATTTTGTTTCTTGTTAGGACAGTAGTCCGCTTGATAGCCACATTCTGATGCAGTAGAACACCTAGTCTGTCTCACAGTCCCTGAACCACATTATTTTCCCTACTGCCCAGCCCTCCCTGCAATGTAGTCTGTCTCACAGTCCCTGAACCACATTATTTTCCCTACTGCCCAGCCCTCCCTGCAATGTAGTCTGTCTCACAGTCCCTGAACCACATTATTTCCCCTACTGCCCAGCCCTCCCTGCAATGTAGTCTGTCTCACAGTCCCTGAACCACATTATTTCCCCTACTGCCCAGCCCTCCCTGCAATGTAGTCTGTCTCACAGTCCCTGAACCACATTATTTCCCCTACTGCCCAGCCCTCCCTGCAATGTAGTCTGTCTCCCTGCACAGTCCCTGAACCACATTATTTTCCCTACTGCCCAGCCCTCCCTGCAATGTAGTCTGTCTCACAGTCCCTGAACCACATTATTTCCCCTACTGCCCAGCCCTCCTGCAATGTAGTCTGTCTCACAGTCCCTGAACCACATTATTTTCCCTTCTGCCCAGCCCTCCCTGCAATGTAGTCTGTCTCAGTCCCTGAACCACATTATTTTCCCTACTGCCCAGCCCTCCCTGCAATGTAGTCTGTCTCACAGTCCCTGAACCACATTATTTTCCCCTACTGCCCAGCCCTCCCTGCAATGTAGTCTGTCTCACAGTCCCTGAACCACATTATTTTCTCCCAGTTCTGCCCAGCCCTCCCTGCACCTGCAATGTAGTCTGTCTCACAGTCCCTGAACCACATTATTTTCCCTACTGCCCAGCCTGAACCACATCCCCTACTGCCCAGCCCTCCCTGCAATGTAGTCTGTCTCACAGTCCCTGAACCACATTATCTCCCCCTACTGCCCAGCCCCTACTGCCCAGCCCTCCCTGCAATGTAGTCTGTCTCACAGTCCCTGAACCACATTATTTCCCCTACTGCCCAGCCCTCCTTGCAATGTAGTCTGTCTCACAGTCCCTGAACCACATTATCTCCCCTACTGCCCAGCCCTCCCTGCAATGTAGTCCCTCTCACAGTCCCTGAACCACATTATCTCCCCTACTGCCCAGCCCTCCCTGCAATGTAGTCTTGTCTCACAGTCCCTGAACCACATTATCTCCCCTACTGCCCAGCCCTCCCTGCAATGCTAAAGCCCTAAATGAAGCAAGACTAGATTCCATCAGGTTCTGAATCTCCCATCTCACTGGGGCTCCTTTTCAATTTAATGGGTTTATTTGTTACTATCAAAATTTCATATATTCAGAGACAAACCATTAGTCTTGAGAATCTCAAAAGTCATTGCTAAGTGTCTCGTAGACAGACCAAGGTATATCCTTGGTAGCCATATTTCGAGACTAGTGCTTAGTCACTGAAAATACATTACTTTAATATAAACACATCTCAAACACGTTCTATATATATTGAAAAGGAGCTCCAGTGAGATGGCAGATCCTGAACCAAGATAGACAGAGCTACAGACAACTTTTTGGGTCATTGAGTTATGTACTCGCTTGTGTTCATCTCAATTGGGTATCCTAATTTTCCTTTGAGGAACATAATAAACTGTACCATCCTCACTCAAATTCAATTAGGTATTTTGCCATTTTCAATTAATTGTAAAAATATAAAAAAGTTCAAATGTTGGTGTTTGTTATTTGTATTTGATCAGTAATATAGGAAATGGGAAGAAGGACAGCAAGTTGCCAAGTTCATGTTTTGGAACAGAACGTCTCAGTTTTCCTCATTTTATTTCTCCAACGCTACGCAAGCCAATATTTGACATTTTTGTGTCTATGCATGTAAGAACTAAGATCAAATTTATTGAGTATTTACAAAATTTCCAGCATACTGTACGTGACAGTCTCAAAAGGAATTCAGTTTCACATAAATATCTGCGTAATTGTTAACCAAGTCAGCGAGTCTGACCACCCGGTCCCCAATAGTTGCTGAAGACCAATTCTAATCCAGATCTTCACGGGTCCATCAACAGCACGAGCACTGATCTACGAAAAAGTGATATGATGACGTGCCAACCAAGTCGGTGAGCCTGACCATCAGTTCCCGTTAGTCGCCTCTTACGACAAGCATGGGTTGCTGAAGACCAATTCTAATCCAGATCTTCACGGGTCCATCAACAGCACGAGCATTGATCTACGAAAAAGTGATATGATGACGTGCCAACCAAGTCGGTGAGCCTGACCATCAGTTCCCGTTAGTCGCCTCTTACGACAATCATGGGTTGCTGAAGACCAATTCTAATCCAGATCTTCACGGGTCCATCAACAGCACGAGCATTGATCTACGAAAAAGTGATATGATGACGTGCCAACCAAATCAGTGAGCCTGACCATCAGATCCCGTTAGTCGCCTCTAACGACAAGCATGGGTTGCTGAAGACAAATTTTAACCTGGATCTTCACAGGCTGACTCCTTATCTATGTATCTATGGATGTTCATACCTTGCTGTTGCTGCAGCGGGATCCGAGGAACCTGCAGCATCTGGAGATGAGTTCTCCTCAACAGGTCAGCATGCTCCTGCCACATCAGTCGGTCGAACAGTGGCGTTGTCACATCAGTGTCTGAAATTGATGTGCCATTATATATTCAACAGGACAAGGGCAAGTTCTTGTGGATAAAAAACATTTTACAACGATGGAGGCATATTAGTTCTGGAAAACTTTATCATGTTCTTAAAACTATTATACAATCTCAACTCATCTTGGACAAGTTCTCGTGGATTAAAAACCCATCTCTATTACAATAGGAGGCATATTTTGATTTGAAAAACGTGCTTGGAAATATATACATAAAGGCAAGAGAAAACGTCGTAATATTGGAAATGACATTTAAGTATCAATGAAATATTTGGAACTATATTTCTTAAATATACACCGGAAGTCAAGTTTGAGGAAAACTTGAATCGTGGTCATATAGCCTGTCGACCCCATGTAACAACACGTCGCCAGGACAGTCATAGCGTCCATCAACACCTGCAAGACCGATTCGCAAGGGCCACAGAAACAGCTCGGGTGACCACAGGAAACCACCAGGGAGCAGTCAGTAACAGACTCCATTCGGCGATGTCTCCAAGCCAGGAACCTGTTTTGTCAGCGTCCTGCCAGGCCACTCATATTCACCGAACGTCACTACTGGGAACGTCTCCTGTGGCAAACAGTGGCAAAACTGGCGTGGGAGAGAACAGAGAGGGGTTATCTTCTCTGCTTAGACTGAGTTTAGTTTTACGCCGCTTTTAGCAATATTCCAGCAATATCACGCCGGGGGACACCAGAAATGGGCTTAACACATTGTGCACATGTGGGGAATCGAACCCGGGTCTTCGGCGGGACGAGCCAACGCTTTAACCACTAGGATATCCCACCTCCCCTTCTCTGCTTATAAGAACCCTAAAGAGGAATATATGAAAAAGAATCGAACAAACCTGTAGAGGTTGCAGATTCTTTGAATATATTCCCCCTTGGGGTACGGCCACCCCGCTCCCAACATTCTGTCTGATTACGTTCAGCATGGAAAGTGAGGGACAAGGTTATAGTCTAGAGTTACCTGCTCTTGGATGTAGGGGTCCGTGGGGCCTTGTAGGGGTGGTCTCACAAGACAAAACCGTAGTTTTTTGTTTTGTAAATTTGTAAGTATTTTATTCAAATATTGTTACAACTGTCATAGGGAATTTAAATGGGCATTTAAATGCTTATAAGTACTCTAAGGAGGAATATACAGAGCTCCAGATAAGATTTAGTTCATGTGAGTACTGTACCCACTGTATTTGTTTTTGGAGTGGGTCCTATGAATGTTGAGTGGGTATTTCATTTTCCGTTACCCACTGCTTTGAAATATGTGGGTCTTTCAGTGATTTTACTCACCTAAGTATATGTCATTGAGTAAGTTTACTAAGCAGGTATGTACTGCCTTATGTCATACCTAAGCAAAACCAACTTAAATATAATGGAAATGATTTCATAAATCTACACTCATCCTATACTAACAGCACAACACTTGTCCTATACTGACAGTACAACACTTGTCCTATACTGACAGTACAACACTTGTCCTATACTAACAGTACAACACTTGTCCTATACTAGCAGTACAACACTTGTCCTATACTGACAGTACAACACTTGTCCTATACTGACAGTACAACACTTGTCCTATACTGACAGTACAACACTTGTCCTATACTGACAGTACAACACTTGTCCTATACTAACAGTACAACACTTGTCCTATACTAGCAGTACAACACTTGTCCTATACTGACAGTACAACACTTGTCCTATACTGACAGTACAACACTTGTCCTATACTGACAGTACAACACTTGTCCTATACTAACAGTACAACACTTGTCCTATACTAACAGGACAACACTTGTCCTATACTGACAGCACAACACTTGTCCTATACTGACAGCACAACACTTGTCCTATACTGACAGCACAACACTTGTCCTATACTGACAGCACAACACTTGTCCTATACTGACAGCACAACACTTGTCCTATACTGACAGCACAACACTTGTCCTATACTGACAGCACAACACTTGTCCTATACTGACAGGACAACACTTGTCCTATACTGACAGTACAACACTTGTCCTATACTAACAGTACAACACTTGTCCTATACTGACAGTACAACACTTGTCCTATACTAGCAGTACAACACTTGTCCTATACTAACAGTACAACTTGATAGCAATCGATGTCTTTTCATTACGCAAGCGATTTTTATAAATATATTCCGTACGCATATGTTTTAAACTTTTTGAGTATCTAACATTTTCGATGCCTAATTGGTACGCAACAATTATTTTTCAATGCGTAATTGGAAATTTTCTATGCGTATTTTACCCGGATACGCAGCTTATCTGGGCCTCTGAATATATGAAAAAGAATATCAAATTTGGCCATTATTTCGGTTCTAGAAATATAATTCACCTACCTGTGCACTGTTGAGGAACCATGTGAGATCTGCTCAGATGGATCTCCTGACTGGCTTCGTTGACACCATGAAGATGATGGAGGACCAGCTGATGGGCATGAAGGCGTAGTCTAAGGAATATATCCTCAAACTGCTGGCAGATGAAGCCAGCAATTATGATGACTAATTCATCCCAAGACAGTCTCCCATCTTGTCTTGGCATCTTGACCTGAAACACAAGGTTAGGGCTGGCTATACAGATCAATAATCGGAAATAGCGTCAATGGGAAGTATTATCAATGATTATCAATATGAGTGAGTGAGTGTGGTTTACACCACTTCCAGCAATATTCGAGCAATATCATGGCGGGGGACACCAGGAATGGGATGCACACATTGTACATGTGGTGAATCGAACCCGGGTCTTCGGCGTGACGAGCGAACGCTTTAACCATGCTACCCTACCGCCCCGATTATTGATATTAAAATTGTGTCATCAATATTATCGTGCCTAAACTATTGTAATGACACATAGTGCTAATTTACTGACACAATACACAAAGCTATATTTTCATTTGGGGACTGCTTCTAAATAATGCTCCGGACAAGTTTTGTTTATAATCTATTAATATGTCACTATTCACCAGTGATGTGAAGACCCTTTTGCCATTTTTGTAAAAAATTACTTTCATGACGATAATTGATCAATATTTAGTTAATAATTATTGATCTCTTTGCTCTATATCGATAGCCTGCCCTACACAAGGTGTTACAATTCTTAATCAGATGCTATGGTAATTAATAAAATCCAAGCCCCTGACTGGGCTCGCTAAATAATTGATGATCAGAAATATTGCTGATGGGAAAAAAAAAAAACCATAATAAATTCCCCGCTCAAAACATAAAATCCTACTGCTAATAATGTTATATAAGTGAAATACGCTTGAAATCAGTGTGAACCCTAAACTCACACTCAACTTATTTCTAGTTGATATAAACAAACCAAAAGAATGAACATGGAAACTCATGTGGGTTTTTGCTTTGACTGGTGATTTATTTTTTTGCCTCCTGCCTTTAGGTTTTCTGAGGACAAAAATCTGTAAAACAAGAAATAGAATTGGTCTGGCCTAAATATGTAATTGTTTTTTTTAATAAATTATATGGTACTTCCCTGAGGGCTGATAGTTAGTGCTACTGAAGGAAATGCATTATGTATTTTAGAGAAACGTGGTGTGACATTGTGCCTTTAACTCATGTGATATTTTGTTAATTTACTCACACAATATACAAAGTTAGGTATTTATTCATGGACTGCTTCTAACCACTAAATTATGTTCAGGATGCTGTTGTGTTAGTAATGCATAAACATGTCACGAGTGATGTGAAATATATTAATGTTTTTCTGACCTTTTGGCACGTTTGCCCGAAGTTATTTCTCTGATATTTATCGATAATCGATCGATACTTAGTTAACAATGTTTATGATCTATATTGATAGCCATGACGCTCACAAAGGGGCAACCTCCAGTAACCCATGCTTATAGTAAGAGGCAAGTTACGGGGTTGGGGAGTCAGGCTAGCTGACCCGGTTGACACATGTCATCATATCCCAACTGCATAGATCGATGCTCACACCGTTGATCACTGGATTGTCTGGTCCAGACATGATTATTTACAGACTGCCAAACATGGAAAAGGAATGCAATGTTTTTAAGGCTTATTGCGCTTACTTGCTGTACCATAATTAATTGTCTGTGAGTGTTACGTGAAAGTTAGGGACCATTATTTAATAAATCTATCTTTGGTTCAAGGGAGAATACATTTATAAAAAACGTACCCATCGCTTTTTAGCAAAGTCACTCTTGAGAAAATTATTAACACTAATTTTCAAGCTGTTAATCCCATGTTTATACTCATAATCCACTTTCTACGATTCCACTTTCTACTTGTCTGTCCATCACTCTCTTCTCAACGTCAAACAAAATTACCTGGCTAGCTATTCTCGATATGTTCGTAGCCCTACAAACTTCTTAAGCCCATTCTTAATACACTGGCTACGATCAAAGTTTAGAAGTCTTAGGGTTACGAATGTTTCGAGAATAAGGGCCCAGAATACTACCGCTCAAATCCAATTGTTGCCATTTGTCCATCTTATGAATTGTGATTTTAATTCAATTATACAAAAATCAGCACAATCTGTAAAAGAATATATGTGTCTTTTTTAAATTTCACTGTATGTACTCTATATCACTTTGTGTGATTTTTATGAGAATAAACTGCTGTTCTAAAGCATTGTCTATGGGGGATTTCCTGTTATCAAGGTGTGGGAAGTCACTTTTATGAACTATAAACACTAATCCCCAAGCTTTTAATCCCATGTTTATACCTATAATCCATTCTAATCCCTACTGCAGGCACAGTGAGCTTAAACCATTTTGAGTATTATACTGACTTTTGTGTCAGTGCATGTTTTATTTCATACATATGTGTTTTATTGATTCTATTTCATTAATAAGTATGGTCTACAGCACTCAGCAAACCTGGTTGGTTGGGTGGAGGGTTTGTTGTTTTTCACTGCACTCAGCAATATTCCAGCCAAACATTCGAGTCTGGACCTCACAAGCCAGTGATCAACAGCATGAACATTGATCTAAGCAAATGTGATACGATGACATGTGTCAACCAAGTCAGCAAGCCTGACCACCCGATCCCATTTGTCGCCTTTACAACAAGCATGGGTTAGTACTTACTGAAGACCAATTCTAACAGGAATCATCAATTTGTTCACATGTAGGGGTGTGTCAGGTTTTGCACATGACATGGGGTGGGGTGTGGGGTGTGGGGTGTTGTCATTCACATATTGTGCATGCTTCTCCATAATAATCATCACCCCTTCATCAAATTATGAACGGTTCCTAAAGAACTTCTCCAAATATCACAAACATTGACATATTAAGTATAGAATCCATCAGCATCCCCGACATCTATTGACCACGTCCCGCTTGATTAAAATGGACTCCGCCGTTCGGGTAGCCGCGGCGCGAGAGCCGCGAAGGATTTCTTCAAACAAGCCAGGAGTCAGCACCTTATCGCTGCTATCTCTCTATGGGGTATAGTTCTCACAACTTCTGTACTCTGGTTTGCGATAGGGTACATTTTCGGAAATGGTAAGATACCAAGCAATATGTAGCGATATCATCCCAGGTTGTCAAATATGATGTAATATATTACCGAATGGGTTGTTACAAACAAATATGACCATGTTGTCGAGCGAGATGCAGCCATGATGACTCAGTAATCAACCCTAACTTTCAAGTGCCCCAATACTGAATCTCTGACCGTTCAACAGATTCCTTATGTGTCACCTATAACATGAAACTATACCCTAATGCCTTTACCTTTTGGTCCGATCGAAAATCACCCACAGATTAGAAGGTTTGTGATTTTTATGACGATACACTTATCCTTCGATGGTCTGTATTCTGTCCATGAATGACGTCCTGTGACGTAACACACATATTGCACTCTCCTACCCAGAGTTCCATGCGGTAAGCCATATGTTATGTTAAGCCATCGCTGTGCCGGAGTGTGACAATATTGTCCTAAACCGAATTACACCAGTCAAAACCTGTAATTCCTCAGTGATAAAACGGACGTTCATTAGAGAAAATGCAGTTCGTTCTCTGCATTCCATGTAGATCTGTAATGTAATAACGTACAGGTTTGCCCTTAATTATTATAGTTAAAGTACGAGGACAAAAGTGTACTTTATTACACTAAACATGGGGGCAGAGCGAACTGTGTTCTTTTCTAAGATGCCAGATTTAATACACACAGGAATTAATCTAGGCAGAAACAAACAAAACGGTATCGGTGGCCTAAATTAACCATCCTCGTTCAGGGCTACCTGACGGGCTGTTACAGTGACGTGTCTGTCCCCTTAGGTAAGACGCACATTACCGTGAAAACCAGCTAGAAGATGGTACATTTAACGTTCGGGTTAAACATCTCTATATAATTTTAGTTACGTCTGTGCTTATCGTAAACCACATGGAGCGTCGCACTTCCACTACCAACGTAAGTTTAGAACGGTAAATCCAGATGAAGCTAGTCACGCGACAATGTATAAACATTGCGAACGTTGCCGTGTGGCTGTTGAACTGAGAAAAAAAATCAAATTTGTTATGTTTGTCTGTTGTTTTAAGGCCGTACTCGGCAATATTCAAGTTATAGGGCTGCGGTCTGTAAATCTGGACCAGACAATCAAGTGATTGACATCATGAGCATCAACGCAGTTGGGATACCATTTTCAATTCAAAATGAAGTTATTTGGTTCAGTCAAAGCAGAGACCATATAATATTATATGGTCTCTGGTCAAAGTTACATATTTTCAGAAACTTTAGTATGAAAAATACTACAATAATTACAAAGTTGGTTTTAAATTGGTAGAGGCACATATTTTCGCTAAACGATTTCATAACCCCAAATTTATCCACTCGTATTTTATGATGAGGTCTGTTTGGTGAAGTCTTGTTTTCGGTCATGTTAAGCGTATAATTGCAGTTAAAAGAGAACATGGTGCACGATGTAGATTGTGAGTTCGGGGCGGTGGGGTAGCCTAATGGTTGAAGCGTTGGCTTGTCACGCCGAAGACCCGGGTTCGAATCCCTATATGGGTACAATGTGTGAAGCCCATTTCTGGTGTCCCCCGCCGTGATGTTGCTGGAATATTGCTAAAAGCGGCGTAAAACCAAAGTCAGTCAGTCAGATTATGAGTTCGAATCCAATAGTCATGATTACGATCTTTTGCCTGTCTGAACCACACCCGTGCTTTAAAATATCAGATATTATATGTACCACACGTTGCACTGTCTTCTTCTGTGATGTAACATGAAATCTGTGTAATACCCGAGAAGATTCGGGTTAGAATTGGTCTTCACCAACCCATCCTTGTTGTAAGAGGCGACTAACGGGATCGGGTGGTCAGGCTCGCTGACTTGGTCGATACATGTCATCGTATTCCAATTGCGTAGATCCATGCTCATGCTGTTGATCACTGATTTGTCTTATCCAGACTCGATTATCTACAGACCGCCGCCAAGTAGCTGGAATATTGCTGAGTGAGGCGTTTAATAACAAACAAACAAAACAAACTAAACCTGGTTGATGCATTTCATCCAAAACTGCGTGGATGGATGCCATGCTGTCAATCACTGGATTTTCTGGTTGGGACTTGATTATTGACAAACCGCTGTCGCACAGCTGGAATATTGCTGCGTGCGGCGTAAAACAAACGCTCGCGAGCAAGTCGTGCCGTATCTGTGCCGTTTTGGCGAATTATGTAATTTCCTTTTTGCTCGGTGTTCTGTGTTGCTGCAGTTTATATACCAAGATGTTTCGAGGCATTCATTCGTGACCGAGTCGTGTTATTCCGTGCAGGTTACGGAACGGGGCGAATCGTGACGAATGACAAATTCTAACGTACATTTCCGAGTATATACTTGTTGAATGTCAATTTTACTGCTACTATCACTAAAAGCGGCGTAAGACAATAAGCGATAACACGATATTGTGCTTAAGAGTCAATTTGATCTATTTAAGATGGGGCTTCCATCAAATAAGTACATATACTGAAGCTGAATAATCTACCGTGTTTATGCACAATTCTCAAAATGAACACACCAAGGGAGGTAACCGCACATTGGAGGAACAACGGTGAAATAGTTTAAAGTGGAATCAGCGAACCGACATTGCATTCTTCTAGTGTGTCTGTACTGATGTAACATTCTGACTTAGTTAAGTGAGTGAGTGAGTATAGTGTTACGCCGCACTCAGCAATATTCCAGCTATATAGCGGCAGTCTGTAAATAATCGGACGTGGACCAGACAATCCAGTGATCAACAGCATGAGCATCCATCTACGCTACGATGACATGTGTCAACCAAGCCAGCGAGCCTGACCACCCGATCCTGTTAGTCGCCTCTTAAGACAAGCATGGGTTACTGAAGATCAATATAAGTTATTCTATTTGTACAAGTTAATTTATATGGGATATATTGGTTATTAGGTAGCTGTATAAAAATAAACAATTTAAATGTTCTAATGAGTTTTTTCTGCTATTGTCTGTGACACTTTATTTTTGACACGTGTGGTTTACACATTCCCATTATGTCGTAAGTGGTCGGGTTTTTAAAAAGATTTAACATTAAGTGTTTTAGATAAATTGTTACAAATTGATGTGACACAGTGTGTACATGCGGAATACCGCCAGGCCTACCCCTCGTCAGGAACAGGTGACATCTAGCAAGACAATGTCAACTAAATCAATGTATATGTGATGACAGAACTTTTTCAGTCATTGAATTAAAAAAAAACCCAACTGAATTGTTATGTAATTTATATACAAATCCCCCCTGCAGTCTAGGGTCTGCCTGTTATCTGTCTCGTCTGTAGGCATTGTGACAGAAATTGTTGACAGTTGAATGAGGTCTGCCTTTATAAGCATGTTACTTAGGGGATAACTAATTAGTCAAACACAGTACAGTTATCCCCATTCTAATTCAACTCGTTTTACGCTGTTTTTTCGTGAAAGAAATTCATTATTTAAACCAGGTCAAAGTTCCTCTAGGTCAAAGGTTAATCATATCACTCCTTCAACTTACACCATCGCCAGAGAAAGTAGTTCCCTTTTCAAACTACACTCGTTTATTATGTGCACACAGACTAAGTTAGACAATGATGAATAGATCATAGTATTTTAGATAAAATGGACGGTATTATGATGAAATCACCCTCTAGTTACAGAAATGAGCGGCCCGCTGATTCCTCAACTACGGGCCATTATCAGTTCTGTTGTCAAATGACGTCATAGCAGGTGACGTCACGCTCCATAATGACGTCATAAACCTTGTTTCATGATCTAACAGTGTTGGGTCAACAGTCCGTTGCGAGTAAGTTGTTTGAACTTAAAATTAAATTTATGATACTGTTTTGTCTTTTTTAACACAAATTCCACCCATTTAAGCTGGATAGGGGAGTTATTTGACCAATGGCTTCTGCAAATGACAATGTCCTGCGAAACAGCGTTACCCCAATAGTGTAGGGATACATTCAAAGTTTTCGGTGAATCGGTTTTCAAATTGCGACCGTATATGCTGATTATACGGTCGGAAATGTATAGCATTGACCCATCAGAACTCGTGTTACATAATAAGTTGAATTAGAATGTTGATGTCTAGACCTTTACCCTTAATAGAGTACATTTCCCATTTCAGCGAAGATCTTTTACCTGCAATTCAGCGGACAAATTGTTATCAATCGTATTTATTAAATATGAAACTGTAATTCTGGAATATAACGTGAAATAATTCAAAGGGCTACTTGTCATTTCTCACTGATATATTTTAGACTGACTGACTGAGTTTGGTTTTACGCCGCTTTTAGCAATATTCCAGCAACATCACGGCGGGGGACACCAGAAATGGGCTTCACACATTGTACCCATGTGGGGATTCGAACCCGGGTCTTCGGCATGGCGAGCCAAGGCTTTAACCACGAGGCTACCCCACCGCCCCTGATATATTTTAGAAGTAGCATCTGCCGAAAGATTACAATGGCGATGATATACCGAAATATTTTGGAGACTCTCAGTGAGTGAGTGAGTGAATTTGGTATTACGCCGCACTCAGCAATATTCCAGCTATATGGCAGCGGTCTATCGAGTCTGGGCCAGATAACCCAGTGATCAACAGCATGAGCATCGATCTGCGCAATTGGGAACCGATGACATGTGTCAACCAAGCCAGAGAGCCTGTCCCTCCGATCCCGTTAGTCGCCTCTTACGACAGGCAAGGGATACTGAAGATCAATTCTACCCCGGATCTTCACGGGTTCAGTCAGTCAGTGATAACACCAGGTGTTCACAACAAATGAGCCTTACTTTGCCAAAATGGCATCAATCACCACAATAAAAATAACATTGTATTATATGGCAAAAGTCAAACTAGAGACCGGTATAGAACATTGCTACTACACAGTCTGTACAACTGTACATGCTTGACAACAATACAAGAATCGGTATCGAAACGTCGCATCACCCGAATAAGAAGTTGTTCATCCATGAAGTTTGTCTTTATCTCCCTGCACGTTGACATTTGGTGCCAGATCATTCAAACACTCAGCCACTGAGCTCTGTAGCTCTCCTTCCTAAGCTGCCTATAAACCTGAGCCTAGATTTTCGAAGCTCTCTTAGCGCTAAGATAGTCGTAAGTAAGTTAATGTATGGCACTTACGACTATCTTAGCGCTAAGAGAGCTTCGAAAATCTAGGCCCTGGCCTAATGATTCATACATTCCTTAATTACTGACAACGTTTTAGTGGTATGCGCTTAGAGTATGCCCTTGCTGTGTATAGTTCAGTGCCATATAATTGGATTAATTATAAATATATATATGCATAAAAAAAAACAAAAAAACCCAAAACAAACAGGATTGAGGGCATTAATGTGGTGTACCCTCCAGGCAATAAATATCACGATGGGGCTACGTTTTTTTATTTCACAGGGACTATGGTCATCTTTATTTGAGCTTATTCAGAACCTGAGGTTTAAGTCTCGAGGCACGAAGGCTTCTTCCAAGAGTGAGTGAGTGAGTTTAGTTTTACGCTGCACTCAGCAATATTCCAGCTATATGGCGGCGGTCTTCTTCCAAGAGCATCCCATTCGTGTTCGATGGGATTTAGGTGTGTGAAGTGTGAAGTTTCTTTGTTTGTTCAGTATATCAATTAGTACAAATAGTCACTCACTCAAGACATCTTGCGATGGTCTGTGATGGTGGAGCGGAAGTAAGCCATTGTTTTTGTGACGGGATTCCATCTGAACTCTCCGGGTTAGGACTGGTCTTCTGCAACCCGTGCTTGTCGTAAGAGGCGACTAACAGGATCGGGTGGTCGGGCTCGCTGACTTGGTTAACACATGTCATCGTATCCCAATTGCGTAGATCGATGCTTATACTATTGATCACTTGATTGTCTGGTCCAGACTCGATTATTTACAGTCTGACGCCATATAGCTGGAATATTGCTGAGTGCGGCGTTAAACAAGCAAAACCTAACCAAAGCGTCTGAACTCAAACAGACACTGCTAGAACAATTGCCGTCTCGTGGAACTATTGCCAGTGTGTTTTTCCCAAGTATGTCAGTTTTGCAGAGGCGTTTTGCAGCACATCTGTCGTTATTTGATACTGAGTTTGACTGAACACCATAAAAGGTATCTGAGGTATATTTTTAGATACAAGGACTGTGTTTAATCCAAAATTTAACCGCGAAGTCATAGGCGCATTTGATTGGAATGTCGGATCTAGGGTTGGGATTTACCGTTAGGGAGAAGTGTCTTTCAGGTAATGGGAATGGTTTGTAACGCCGCACTCAGCAATATTTTGGGCAGCTATATGGACCAGACAATCCAGTGATCAAATGACTATTAAATGGCAGTGGACGAACACCGCGGTCACAGTTACAGACTTTACTCAAGATCATTGAGGGTACAAACGCAAACATGTTTTTATACAACATTTTTGACAACAACAAAGATAATTTTGTTAACATTGTTTTAAGATTTTGGCTATAATATTTAAATAGGAATGCCAAAAACTAACCTGCCTCACTTGTAATTACTGTTACATTCATCACCCTATACGGACAGAAGGGCACCACCGAAATACGATGCACTATGGTAGATTTCATATGTGGTAGTAATCTCCACCCATACCTCTTGTCCCTTCTCCAGATGGTCAACAGTTTGGGCAGAAGCATCAACATCACCAAAAGTTGACAATGTTTCCATGTAACCAGCCGCCATATTCATCCCTCCTGTCCTTTTTATGTAGACGTACAAGGCAGTGTTCGATCCTCCGCCCATTTCAAGCTGTGTCCAGAAGATATAGGTACCGCTGACTGGCGCAGTGAACTTCCCTGTGTTGCTGTTGTATCCGGAGCCTGCGTTGTAGTTTACCAACTGGAATAGCACTGGGGATGATGAAGGTGTATGGCTGGGTGGATCATGTGCTTGGAAAGCCACATCTGGGATCTTTGTTGCTGTTCAAAAATAAATAAATAAATAAAACCAAAAACATAAAGAACGTGATTGGTTTATTCAAAATATAAGTCCGTCGAGAAGGTTTAGGACGTGTGTGAGAAATAATTTGCATTTAACTATTACGAGCGCTTCTTTTACATTCACATTCTAATTTAGAGGTTTTGTTTTTTATGGTCCGGTTAATAGTCCGAACCGGAAGTAAGTGACTAGGGAGAAACGACATGAGGTCAAAAAAGTCTGTGATGGCGCTGCGGTGTTTTCCAACGAATATACAGTGTAGAGATAATGTTGCCCAAAGTTTCCATATATGTGTCATTACTGGACACCAACTTGTCAACTTAGTGAAAGTAGAAATAACGGTCAAGTTTGAAATAACAAAATAAAGACTGTTAACTGACTGACTGACTGACTGACTGAGTTTGGTTTTACGCCGCTTTTAGCAATATTCCAGCAACATCACGGCGGGGGACACCAGAAATGGGCTTCACACATTGTACCCATGTGGGGATTCGAACCCGGGTCTTCAGCGTGACGAGCCAACGCTTTAACCATTAGGCTACCCCACCGCCCCAAAGACTGTTAACAAGAACGTGGTTATCTTCTACAATATGCATTTCTTGTCTTTTTAACACGGTCATTTAGATATGGTAGTTTGTCATTGTTGCGTATCCTAATTACGTTGATCACATGATTGTCTGGTTTACACTAGATTCTTTGCAGACAGCCATCATGTTGAGCGAGTAATGATGTGTGTGGCGTTAAACAATACAGAAAAATGAAAGAAGGGTACCAGTAAGAGTCCATACAGTCTGTCTCACAGTCCCTGAACCACATTAATTTCCCTACTGCCAAGCCTCTCTGCAGTGCTAAAGCCCTGAATAAAGCAAGTCTAGATTTCCTCAGGTTCTGAACCTCTGGTCTCCCTATAAGGGCTCCTTTTCAATATAAATGGGCTTGTTTGTTACTATCAAAATTATATATATTCAGAGACTAAGCCTTAGTCTAGAGTCCATACTGCACACCCAAGAAACTCAAGAACTAAACAGGGCATTGATTGTTAGAACTGTAGCATTGAGGCGTGTTAGTGGATTTCTCTGGATACATTCTAAAAGAGTTTCTACTTACCAACACCAGACATGTTTCTTTTCAGAGCTGCAACTTCCGAGGATGTGAAACTGAGGTTGTTCTGTATAATGTGGACATCCGTCTGTAAAGTACTGAACAGAGCGGTGTTCAGCTTCACATCGCGACTCATGACATCTAACAGTGTCAGATTCAACTGAACATCGCCATTCGAGCTACCGTGTGGCATGGATTTAACTCCGTTTGGACTGCAGCAATGTCGTCTGCTGACAATTTCAGCTTGCCCTCCAGGATATTCACTTCGTTTTTCAGTGAGGATATCTCAAGAGCTGCGAACCCTTGTTGTGTCTTGCTGGTCTGTAGGTCTGACAGTGCGGTCTGTAGTTGTGTCTGTGTGTTCTGAAGATCTGTCATTGTTGCCGTTAGATCTGATCGAAGCTGCGCGGACGTTCTTTGAAGGATGTCCACATTCTGCTCCAACAGTAGCACGTGTCTCTTCATTGTGGACATGTCATCTGTACCTTCTGGCTTTGTCGTGGGCAGGATAAATCCTGAGAGTGACCCAAACAGCAGGATACACAGGAACACAACATCCACAATCATGACACCTATTACTTTTAGACGCAAAACTGTACAACATATGGAACTGTCCCAAAGTTAATCAAGGAAGATCACGTGACAAAGTCTGTCGTTCAGGAGATAACGGCATGCACTGCTCCGGGTGCTATTTGTTTGGTACAGCTTATATAAAGACCGCTGCCATAGTGGTGGAATGGTACTGAGTGCGGCGTGAAACAACAAGCAAAAACAAGCTATTCCTGTCCACTTTTGCATGCTTGAGGTGCATCGTGATAAACCATCACTTTTTTCCGATATCTGTCATTTTTAGAAGGAAGTTTTTAATAGTTTGCTATGTGCATTGTCATGTTACACTGCGACATGAAACACGTTCGTGCTCTATTTTGTTGTAAAGATAAGGCATATTGGCGCCACCTAAGGTGTTTCAAATAGAGGCTATTCCAAAACACTGTTGTTAAAATTCTGTTAATAATTGTGAAACCGTGTTCCGAGGGTAATACATCGTACATGGGGATCGGCAGTGAGTGGCAATGGTGTGTCATATTTGGACTTGTGCTATATTTAGACAGTCTGGAAGCTACCATGTACAGTAAACGCCAAAATAAACGTTACCCTCCTACCTTTATGAATTACTGAAAAACCATCAAAGATATGTAAGAAGGTATTAGTTTACAAGAAAGCTTACGAACACAGTTTTATGCAAAACACGAAAATGAATTCTCAAATGCATTCATATTTAGGTGAAATGCATCTTTTTCAGAAGAGTTAAATTGTTCTATATTCGTCCATGATGAAATAAACCAATAACAGTGATTTTGATTTTGATCACAGGCCCTCGTGTCTTTATAAGGATAAAAGATGTTAAAAACGACCCCCAACTCGAATTAGTTATTTCAGTTAGTGAAAACAAGTAAAACGTGTCTTTGATATTGTGAAAAATTGTTTAGGAACATCTAAAATTATCTTTGTGAACATTTTTGTCTACAAAGTAACATTTTTCCATTTCCTGTTTACACATAGCAATATCAATCGCCAAAACGCAGTAATATTCAAGCAGTATTTGCATCCATTTCACATGTATAATGATTCTATAGGGTATGAAGAGGGCCTAGAATACATGATATGATACACAGATACGAGAAATATGCCACGATTAACAGCTGAAGAGAGAGAAAGGGCCATTGTAATGGGGCAGATGGGGTCGACGACATACATTGCTGTTGCCAACGCCCTCGGATGCCACAGGATCATGGTTATAAGACTATTCAGGGCTTCAGACAGACTGGGGTCACCGTAGACAGGCCAAGAAGTGGGCGTCCACGGATCACAACGCCAGCTGAAGATAGCTCTAGGTACCTCCTTCATTAAGGAAGGAGGGTAACGTTTCTTTTGGCGTTTAGTGTATACAGGGTGTTACAACCCTACCGACCCTTCCACTACATTTCGACCCAGCTAGTTGGGGAATCTTCTGGAGTCGTTTCCTGAGATATGTAAGAGGAGCAAGCAATCACATTACATCCCGAGTTACATATAGAGACAAGCAATTGTGTATACATCAGCTCTTACCCTTGATATTCAACCAAGCCTCTTTGGAAACTTCAATATTGTGGCAGTGAGGTGATTATCACCATCACCGTCTCAATTGCTATGATCACTGGTTTAGCATTATTAGGGCTCCTTGCCATTAGGCAGGAGACCTATTGTAAGGGCTCCTTGCCATTAGGCAGGAGACCTATTGTAATCGTTCGTGTTTTTATTATTATTATTATTATTATTTATTCTTCCGCCGTATTTTGTAACTGAGCTACAGAGAGCACCGCTGGACAGAATGCCTTGACAAAAATCACCCAGATGCCCACCGAGGGGTACATATCGCGCTTTAAAATCTGTAGGCTGTAGGACCAATAGCAAAGGGCAGATAATTCAAAATTAATTCAAAAATTTCAATTTCAAATGCAAATTTCTCCAAAACTAATGCTCCAATGTGTGCCAAAGTTCTGGAGCAGATGCGCAATCAAAATGCCTACAATTTCGCCTGGACGGCTCGAGTCGCTAAAATGCACCGTTTGGCCGCTATTTTGGATTGAAGTTTTTGGTGATGTTTTTCAGCAAAATGCTGACTACTTTCCTCCCAAAATGTGCTGCACTGAAACTTCAAGAGCTACGGCTTTCAAACTTTGCATACTTTGTGTCTATGCACCTTACTACACAGTAGCATCGTCAAATGTGCCTATGTTTATATGATGGCCGCCATATTGGACGCTACTTTTGCGCAAAAGTTGTCTTCAAAAACTTTCACGGGCTACTTTGCTATTTTGTGCCAAACGGAACTTACCACACACAACACTTTAAACGATTGTTCTGAAGTTGCCTTTGGTTGTTGAACATTTTCTGTTCTTGGTCCTATGTCAAAAGTCACGTGATGCGGCGGCCATATTGGATTGAAGATGTTTATCGGAAATTTGCAGATTTTGTGGGGTAGGCATTTTTCGCAAGCCATAACTCTGAATGTATGAACTGCAGAACGCTGTAAATGTGCAGATATACAACATATACCTCAAATATCAATGCCCATAAGCTATGTTGCGATATCTTGATTAGTTACGGATATCTAGATGTTTGCTTCTGTTGTTTATTTTGTACTAAAATGTATTTTCAAAAAATCGCAGCAACATTACTATGTCAACTGTGCAGCTAGCATCTGGCAGTACGTAGTAACTTGGTATGTTGAACATTTTTCGTTCTTGGGTTCATGTCAAAATGTGTATTGCTTGGCGGCCATATTGGATTTCGTCAGATTCTGAAGATACTACATTATAAACAGTATAGCTGCTCGAGTTCCGCACAGAAGGCAGTAAAACCTGGCAGTATGCATCAGCATAAGATGCTTAACATTTCGTGTTCTTACATGCATATACAAAATTGGATCGTTTGTCGGCCATATGGCATTGACAATTGCACAAATGCATTATGTGTCCTACAATCGAAATGCCTACCATTTCGCCCGGACGGCTCAAGTCGCTAAAATGCACCGTTTGGACACTTGAACACGACGATTCCAGAACACTAATTGTTTTGAACGTAGACCCAAGGACAACGGAGCTACGGCCTGTCAAAGAGCAAGCTATTGGGGTCAAGTGTTCCTGTCCTCGGAGCTCATGTTTTCCACCTTTAAACACCCGTAACTCGGACACCAACCATCCGATTTCCACCAAAATTGGGATACACATTTATGCCGCCGGTGTGAGTCGTGTGTACCAGTTGCAGCGACATAGCTTCAAAGACAACGGAGGGACAAATAATAGTCTATTTTCCTCACCACAGTTGCTAATCTCGGTTGGTTCTCATGGCCTAAAAGTCGGGCCGGGCCGGGCCAAGACGGGCCAAATATATAATTGGCTAATAAACCCATTAACGATCACCATGCCTACAATTAATTAATGCAACATACACGCATGGTAATAATGATCAATCAGAAGCCATAAACGCGTACCATAATAACTTTATTACGAGTAAATCGGCTAAAACTCAGGAAGACGAGAAGCCTGTGAACTGGCTGACCGAGGTTACGTCTAAAAGTCGAATCGTTAAACGAAACGAGGATTTAAAACGTATAAATACTTCAGTCAATTCCGATACACATTTCCATCGGTTTATTACATCTATATCCAATCACATACTACCCCATAAATTCATTATTCATCGTATTTAAAACATGCCCCTTTATATGATAGCTACGATCTCTCCCCACACTCTCAACATTATCTCGGCCACAATTGTTCGGTCCGCCTCGACTCGAGCTTTCAAAAGCACCTTAAACGTAACACATGTATCTTGATTTGTGTTTAATTCCATAGATTGGTATTATATCTACCTAAATATCAATGTGTGATGTTACAAAATGCAACATGTAAAGAAAACTGCTCCGTTAAAGTGAAGCCCTTTTCTCTCTCCATTCACAACATAGCCTCAATCAAAGTGTTAAGTCTCTGTTCAGCCCGTCTTGGCCCGTGCTGTCAAAACAAACTAAACCTCACACATGTATCTTGAAATGTGTTTCTATCCATAGATTATGTTAGATCTACCTAAATATCACTTCACAGAGTCTCAAAGCGTAGTATTTGAAGCAAAAACGTTGCTGAAAGTGAAGCTCTCTTTTCTACATATTCTCAACAAAGACACTGTATCACAAGCATTCGGTCTGCCGTGGCTCGGGCTTTCAAAACAACCTTAAACCCCACATATGTATCCTGATTTGTGTTTAATTCCATAGATCAGTATTATATCTACCTAAATATCAATGTGTGATGTTACAAAATGCCACATGTAAAGAAAACTGCTCGTTAAAGTGAAGCCATTTTCTCTCTCCATTCACAACATAGCCTCAATCAAAAGTGTTTAGTCTCTGTTCAGCCCGTCTTGGCCCGTGCTGTCAGAAACAAACTAAACCTCACACATGTATCTTTCAAATGTGTTTATATCCATAGATTAGTGTTATATCTACCTAAGTACGTCTTTATAGAGTCTCAAAGCGTAGTATTTGAAGCAAACACGTTGCTGAAAGTTGAAGCCCTAATTTCTATACATTCTCAACAACCACATAGTATAACATGCTTTCTGTCCTGCTTGGCCCGGGCTCTCAAAACAACTTAAACCCCACACATGTATCTTGATTTGTGTTTAATTTCATAGATTAGTATCATATCTACCTAATTATCAATGTCTGATGTTACAAAATGCCACCTGTAAAGAAAACTGCTCCGTTAAAGTGAAGCCCTTTTCTCTCTCCATTCATAACATAACCTCAATCAAAAGTGTTTAGTCTCTGTTCAGCCCGTCTTGGCCTGTGCTGTCAAAACAAACTAAACCTGACACATGTATCTTCAAATGTGTTTATATCCATAGATTAGTGTTAGATCTACCTAAATATCACTTCACAGAGTCTCAAAGCGTAGTATTTGAAGCAAAAACGTTGCTGAAAGTGAAGCTTATCTTTCTACATATTCTCAACAAAGATATAGTATCACAAGCGTTCGGTCAGCCTTGGCTCGGGCTTTCAAAAACACCTTAAACCCCACACATGTATCCTGATTTGTGTTTAATTCCATAGATTGGTATTATATCTACCTAAATATCAATGTGTGATGTTACAAAATGCCACATGTAAAGAAAACTGCTCCGTTAAAGTGAAGCCCTTTTCTCTCTCCATTCACAACATAGCCTCAATCAAAAGTGTTAGTCTCTGTTCAGCCCGTCTTGGCCCGTGCTGTCAAAAACAAACTAAACCTCACACATGTATTTTCAAATGTGTTTCTATCCATAGATTAGTGTTATATCTACCTAAGTACGTCTTTATAGAGTCTCAAAGCGTAGTATTTGAAGCAAACACGTTGCTTAAAGTGAAGCCCTAATTTCTATACATTCTCAACAACCACATAGTATAACATGCTTTCTGTCCTGCTTGGCCCGGGCTCTCAAAAACACCTTAAACCTCACACATGTATCCTGATTTGTGTTTAATTCCATAGATTAGTATCATATCTACCTAATTATCAATGTGTGATGTTACAAAATGCCACCTGTAAAGAAAACT